CCCCATGGGAGACCAGGAGAAGCACCTGGCTCCTGCCTTGGGATCAGTGCGGTGCGCTGGCCGCAGTGCGCTAGCCGCGGTGGCCATTGGAGGGTGAACCAACGGCAAAGGAAGACCTTTGTCTCTCCCTCTCTCACTGTCCACTCTGCCTGGTAAAAAAAAAAATAAATAAAAAAATAAAAAAAAATTGGTTTCGAAACTAAAAGCAAGCCAAATCTCTCACAAAAGCTAAATTGGTATGTTTGTACCAACTTCTGAAAACACAGGTACCTCCATGCACTACCCAATTCAACTGACCAACTAAATACCAAATACTTGAAAATTTGCATTCCTACTCATTTAAGAAATGAAAATAGGGGCTAGCTGTGTTGTGGCACAGCCGGTAAAAGAGCCGCCTGCAGTGCTGGCATTCTATATGGGCACCAGTTCGTGTCCAGCTGCTCCACTTCTGATCCACCTCCCTGCTAATGGCCTGGGAAAAGCAGAAGATGGTTCAGGTGTTTGGGCCCCTTCTACCCAAGTGGGAGACCTGGATGAAGCTCCTGGTTCCTGGCTTTGGCCTGGCAATCCCTGGCTGTTGTGGCCATCTGGGGAGTGAACCGGCGGATAGAAGATCTCTGTCTCTGCCTATGTCTCTCCTTCTCTCTCTGTAACTCCAACTTCCTTCCTTTCTTTTTTTTTTTTAAATTTATTTATTTACCTGAAAGAGTTACACTGAGAGAGAAGGAGAAGCAGAGAGAGACAGGTCTTCCATCCACTGATTTATTCCCCAACTGTCTGTAACAGGAGAAGCTCTGCCTTGCCAGGAGCTTCTTCCAGGTCTCCCACATGAGTGCACTGGCCCGAGAACTTGGGCCATCTTCTACTGCTTTCCCAGGCCATAGCAGAGAGCTGGATCAGAACTGGAGTAGCCAGGACTAGAACCAGCACCCATATGGGATGCCGGCTCTGCAGCGGCAACTTTACCCACTACGCCACAGCACCGGCCCACTGTAACTCCAATTTTCAAATAAATAAATAGATTTTCTTTAAAAAAAAGAAATGAAAATAATTCACCAAGCCTCCAGTCTCTCCCTTTATTTTTGCCTTAGTATTTCAGATATTTTAATCTAGTGCCTAAAGAAAGAAAGGATCATGGCCAAAGTGTGTTGATGTTACTTTAGTGCCAATTTATTATATGACTTATTTATAGATTATCCACATATGTTCTTCAATAAATTGTGTTTTCTAGTATATACTAAACAATGTTACATGTTTATTTATGTAGTCTTTTGAATCACTCTATATACTTCATATTTCTGTCCTTTAACAATTTCTATACTACTCCAGGTGCCATACCTGCTGTGCAAGGCCTTCTCGACTTTCAGTAGAGCTGAGAAGGACCCGGCGGTTTGACAGTGCTTCTTCATAAGGCACAGACTCCACAAGGGGCTATGGAAAAAGCAACATAAGGATTAAAGTTAAAGTCTTTTTTTTTTTTTCTTTTCTTTCTCTCTCTCTTTTTTTTTTTTTTTTTTTTTGACAGGCAGAGTGGACAGTGAGAGAGAGAGACAGAGAGAAAGGTCTTCCTTTGCCGTTGGTTCACCCTCCAATGGCCGCCGCGCTGATCCAAAGCCAGGAGCCAGGTGCTTCTCCTGGTCTCCCATGGGGTGCAGGGCCAAGGACTTGGGCCATCCTCCACTGTACTCCCTGGCCACAGCAGCAGAGAGCTGGCCTGGAAGAGGGGCAACCAGGACAGAATCCGGCACCCCGACTGGGACTAGAACCCGGTGTTCCGGCGCCGCAATGCGGAGGATTAGCCTAGTGACCTGCGGCGCCGGCCCAAAGTTAAACTCTTGTTTCACTGTTCCTCCTGGTCTTGCATATACAAATAAGAATGCTAACTAGGGTGTGATAATAAATTCAGCTGTAGACCAACACAGATGATTTCCCTTAATACAAGTGAAAAGAAAAATAATAATTTTTATAAAGAAAAACAATGAAAGAGAAGAACTTGCCCTATCAATTATAAGGTACACAAACTAAAACCAGATATGGGATTGTACCAAAACAGACAGATGAATAGGATAGAAAATCCAGAAACACACAAAAGTATACACAAAAATGTATTACGTGACAAATACTTCCTTCCTTTATTTTTGAAGATTTATTTATGGGGGTCCAGCTCCTATCTTTGGCCAGTTCCAATTCTGGCTGTTGTGACCATTTAGACTGTGAACCAGCAGATGGAAGATCTCTCCCCTTTCCCTCTTCTCTTAACTCTGTCTTTCAAATACACTAACTAATCTTAAAAAAAATTATTGTAAACAGTATTATGTGACTAGATATATTTTGCTTATCAAATAAGGTATGGGCGTTTGTCATCCCCTTTTCCCAAAAGACACTGCTAATATTCACCAAACACCTGCATCCCAAAATTGAATAAAATCTAAATAATATGAACCATGGACAAACATGTCACTTTCTGGAAAGATGCCTGATTTTTCTTCTGATTTAAATGGTAATAGCAGCTCACAAACCTTTCTCAAAGCCTTCACATAGGCAGCAGCCTTTTTCTTGTACTGCAGCATACATTCGGCTGAAAGAGGGCTGATGAATCCACTCGCTGCCTTAGGCCCGTAGCTCAGCGAAGCAATGAAGAAGTCCACATTGTTGCTGAAGAAAGATGCAATCTAAACGAAGTGTGACAAGAAGACAGGTTTTGTTTTCCAATAATACATCTAGGATCTATAGCTAATAGCCTTTGGAGCTGAGCACCGAAATGAAATGCTAACATTTGCCCAAGAGCCACCATTTACTCATTCAAGTAGCCTACCTCGACAGTGACATTATTTATAATGAGAAGAGGATCCCAGTGTAAATACTGAAAACCAACTTCTGACAGAGCCTACTCTAGATAACTTTATTTATTTATTTATTTATTTATTTTTTGACAGGAAGAGTGGACAGTGAGAGAGAGAGACAGAGAGAAAGGTCTTCCTTTGCCGTTGGTTCACCCTCCAATGGCTGCCGCGGCCGGTGCGCTATGGCCGGTGCACTGCGCTGATCCAAAGGCAGGAGCCAGGTGCTATCCTGGTCTCCCATGGGGTGCAGGGCCAAGCACTTGGGCCATCCTCCACTGCACTCCCTGGCCACAGCAGAGAGCTGGCCTGGAAGAGGGGCAACCGGGACAGAATCCGGTGCCCCGACCGGGACTAGAACCTGGTGTGCCGGTGCTGCAAGGCAGAGGATTAGCCTAGTGAGCCGCGGCGCCAGCCTAGATAACTTCTATTCTTCCTGAAAACCAAGACTCATTCTGATTTTCCCCATAGGTGATTTTCATCAGCTGTTTACCTCTTTAACTTCTGGATTGTTCTCAAAATATCTGTTTGGGTCCATACATTCCATTTATAGTTTAACTTTGAGTATTTCATATTCTGACAGAAGAACATGATATAAACATCTTTAAAAAGAAAAATTTATTTATCCATTTGAAAGAGTTACAAAGAGGCAGGAGAGAAAGAGAGAGGTCTTCCATCTGCTGGTTCACTCCCCACATGGCCCCAATGGTTGGAGCTGGGCCAATCTGAAGTCAGCAGCCAGGAGCTTCTCCCACACGAGTGCAGGGGCCCAAGGACTTGGGCCATCTTCTACTGCTTTCCCAGGCCATAGCTGAGAGCTGGATCAGGAGTAGAGCAGCCGGGACTCAAACCAGCTCCCACATGGGATGCCAGCACTGCAGGCGGTGGTTTTACCTGCTATGCCATAGTGACACCCCAACATAAGCATCTTGAATATGTAATCTCTAGTTAAATTTACTTAGGTAAATTTAAATTTGTGAATTAAAAATGATAAGAAAAAGACTGAAAATTCAGTAGACTCTGGTCATTTACAAAATCAACATTTGTTAAATCCATTTAAGTAGCCACAAAGATCCATGACCACAATTTTGCTGAGCAAGATTTTGATTCTACAGTGGTACGTAATGATAATAAAAACTAAAAATGTCTGCTGTATCTTTGTCTCAGCAAGAAAAATTAGTACTGGCTACACTTAAGAACATTCTATTTTGATAAATAAGAAAAAGTGACTTGTGAAACAGGGTAGTCCACCTTGACAAAACTGCAATAAGGTGGAGTAATTAATCACTAATTGTCTGAAAGTTGTATTTTTCTGTTTTATTATGTCAAAAAAATTCCATGTTACACTCAAAGAGTGAAGATTACAAAACCTTGCACTATACAGTATTATTCCACATGAGATACATCCAATGTTTGCATTCAGGTCAAACCCTACTGGGTTTTGTTAAAATTACAAACCATAGGGGCTGGCATGGGTGGTACAGTGGGTTAAGCTGCAGACTGCAACACCAGCATCCCATATTGCAGTGCCAGTTTGAGCACTGGCCACTGTTTCCGATCCAGCTCCCTGCTAATACTCCTGGGAAACAGCAGAAGATGGACCAAGTACTTGGGCCCCTGACAATCATGTGGGAGACCCCAATGGATTTCCTGGCTCCTGCCTTCAGCCTGGCCCATTCTTGGCTGCTGCAGTCATCTGGAGAGTAAACCAGCAGATGGAAGATCTCTGCCTCTCCTTCTGTCTCTATCACTCTGCCTTTCATATAAAATAAAATAAATGTTTAAAAAAATGACAACATTGGCCGGTGCCGCGGCTCAGTAGGCTAATCCTCTGCCTTGTGGTACCGGCACACCGGGTTCTAGTCCCGGTCGGGGCGCCGGATTCTGTCCCGGTTGCCCCTCTTCCAGGCCAGCTCTCTGCTGTGGCCCGGGAGTGCAGTGGAGGATGGCCCAAGTGCTTGGCCCTGCACCCCAGGGGAGACCAGGATAAGCACCTGGCTCCTGCCTTCGGATCAGTGCAGTGCGCTGGCCGCAGTGCGCTAGCTGCAGCGGCCATTGGAGGGTGAACCAACGGCAAAGGAAGACCTTTCTCTCTGTCTCTCTCTCTCTCTCTCACTGTCCGCTCTGCCTGTCAAAAAAAAAAAAAAAAAAAAGACAAGGTTGCACATTTTATTGACCTGCTTTCTTTTGCATGTGTGAACAGTGTTATTTCTTCGTTATTCAAAGAGTTGAAGGTTAATTAGCCGTGTAACTTCAAGTAGTAATGCTGCCAGTCTCCTTCACACACACATACACAAAATACAAGCCATAAAATGTAGTTTGATCAAATCATATTAATTAATTTAATCAATTAATTGATTTAACTAATATTATATTAGTTAAATATTAATGCTGTCATCAACTACCATCAGTTTAAATACTTACCTTAGTTTAAAATCATTTATAAAAATTCCAAAGTGAAGACCAGATATCTTTCCTTGAGACAACATCTTAAGGATTAAGGCAAAGCAAAGCTAAAATAAACTATGAAATATCCCTGCATTTACTATTTCAGAGTTCCCATAAAAGGCAGCAAATGCAGACTCCTGTAAAATGCCAACATTCTCTTTTTTGCAGGATTTTTCTTAATTTAATAAAAGTTAGGATTATCCTCAGAAAGCTTGTGGCATGCCACGGATGAAGGAGATAAGAAGACGAGGAGGTGTGGAAGGTCCCTTAGCTCAGGAACCCCAAAGATAACATGTTCTTTTTTTTTTTTTTTTTTTTTTTTTTTTTTGACAGGCAGAGTTTGACAGTGAGAGAGACAGAGAGAAAGGTCTTCCTTCCATTGGTTCACACCCGAAATGGCCGCTACGGCTGGCGCGCTGTGCTGTTCCGAAGCCAGGAGCCAGGTGCTTCCTCCTGGACTCCCATGCAGGGTTCAAACACCTGGGCCATCCTCCACTGCCCTCCCGGGCCACAGCAGAGAGCTGGACTGGAAGAGGAGCAACCGGGACTAGAACCCGGCGCCCATATGGGATGCCAGCACCGCAGGCAGAGGATTAACCAAGTGAGCCACGGCGCCGGCCCAAGATAACATGTTCTAATTGCAGCCCCAAACTACAGCAAAAAAGACTGGTATAAGTTTGGGAAAGATGAAACTGACTGCCTAACAAGACATATGATCATTTCTGATTAAAACTATTTGAAGAAAATCTGTTCCTTTAATAGCCAACATACCAGAAAAAGAATGGTGCATAAAAAGAGATTAGCATTTCCCTGAGAAATTATGTTGAGTCTGCTAAAATAAATGGATTAAGACAGTTCTGAACACAGTTTTTTGGGTTCATACATATATGAAGAATTCTTAATAGAATTATTAATTATTAAAGGTATTGATGACAGCCACATGAACACTCTACAGATACTCAATCAGAATATCTGGGGCCAGCTTTGTGGCATAGTGGGCTAAGTGTCTCTGCCTGAGGTGCCGGCATCCCATATGGGCGTTGGTCTGAGTTCCAGCTGCTCCACTTCCGATCCAGCTCTCTACTTATGGCCTGGGAAGGCAGTAGAAGATGGCTCAAGTCCTTGGGCCCCTGCACCTGTGTGGGAGACCGGAAGAACTCCTGGCTCCTGGTTTCGGATCGGCCCAGCTTCAGCTGTTGCAGCGATTTGGGGAGTGAACCAGTGGATGGAAGACCTCTCTTTCTGTCTCTCCCTCTCTTTTTGTAACTCTGCCTCTCAAATAAATAAATCTTTAAAAACATGAAAAAATATTTTTAAAAATCTGTGATCAAAAGATTTTTAAAGAAACTGTACTTTGGTCACTTGATAATGATAATTAAGTGCTTAATGATCCAAATAATTATTACCTAATAATAAGGGTTTGATGAAATGACGTATCTTGAAGTCACTCTGAAGTCCTTGTTAAGATACAAAGCCAGAGAGGCAACATTATCACAGAAGGTACCCAAAAAACAAAACTAGCAAAGGAAAAAAACCCAAAGTATCAATGGAGGGTGTACTGGTCTTTGTTTTTGTTTTTTTTTTTTTTTCTTTTTCTATATGCTCCCAAAGTTTAAGACAGCAGATCCCTGATCTACACAAGGATCTATATTGATACTATTTAGAATTTTCAAACCACCGAATCTTGAATTAAAACATAATTAGTGAGTTATCTACTTAGTTATCACAAATGCTAAGCAGTCATTACCATATTGTTGTAACTACTGATTAGGGAGGAGGGGAAAGGAAGACAATTCTTTTTTATTAAATAACAAAAATCTTTTTATCCCAAAATTCTTTCACAGATCAATTTTCCTGTCATTTTTTAAAAGGGAGCATATTTGATATCAACATAAACCAGAAAACAATTACCTTTCCTGCTCCATTTGTTAATGCCACTAATGATGACAGGATACAATCATTAGTTGTGATCAGCTTCTGCGTTGCTGTTGGAAGTTCGTGCTCTATTGTAGCTTTTTGACTATAATGTTTGGAAATATCTGTAAAAGCAATCAAATGAAAATTTATTGCTATCCATACACCTGTCACATAAAGAAAATCAGCCCATTTATTTATTTATCTCACATTTATTCTTATAAATGCATAAAGTAAATCTGACAAAGAATGGTCACAAATATCACAATCATGCTTAATATCAATTAAGTCACAAATCTATGTGGAAAGACTAGAGAGAAGTGTCTCTCAACACCATCTTGGATGTCTCTACTACAGCAACCAGTCTGGGTTTGATTCTTCCTGATTTGAGAATTAGGCCTTATTCTACATTGGATAAATGATCCTAACCAGTATTTATCAGCTAAAACCACTGTTTTGATAGTCTAGCAGGCACTAATGAGAAATTATTTTGTACTTACATAAGCAATCCATAAAGCTGGAACAGAACAGCCAATACAGGCATGACATCCCACAATCATTACTGGACCTTAGCCAGTGTACTAGTACACACCCTAACTAGCAATGACAAAGAATCAGCACAATCAAATAAGGACTGGATACTCTAGCGTCTGGCTTCGTGTGCTATTACTTCTAATATAAGAATACTACAACAAAAGCTTATGGTTAAAAAAGCATAGAGGAGAGGCTTAAGTATAAAAAAGGCTAAGAGAAATTACACTACATGAGACTGGCCAAACAGTTAAGCTCTGGAACTTTCTAGGTCTCTGAGAAATACAGTAATTTTGTCCTGGAAATGAGGAGAAATGGAGAATTATTAGGGAAATATTGATTTACAATGGTAATTATACACTCTACAGCCTCCACTGAACTTCTTGGAGTATTTCAGTTAAACAGCATTAATTATCATTACCAATAAAGCTTCACAAAACATGAAAACTACCTTTTATCGTGTTTATGCAGAGAATTTTATTTATTGAGACAAGAAATTTAGTTGATTTCAGACTATAGTAAAAAATAGAAATAGAACTATTTGGAAAGAAATGGTATTTGAGTTTGTTTTTGTTTTAATTTTCACCTGCTTGAAAGGCAGAGCAATAAAGAAAGAAAGAGATTTTCCATTTGCTGGTTAGCTCACAACAGACAAGGCTGGGTCAAACCAAAGCCAGAAGCCTGGAACTCCCTGTGGGTCTCCACATATGCGGCAGAAGCCCAAGCATTTGAGCCACTGCCTGCTGCCTCCCAGGCTGCATTATCAGGAAATTGGATTCAAAAGGGTATAGTCGGGACTCAAACTGGCACTGCGATATGGGATGCAAGCAACCCAAGTGACAACTTCCTCCTAAAGGGCAGCTTAACCTGCTGCACCACAATGCCCACCCTAGTATTTAAGCTTTAATCTGATATAATCATGGTTTTGTTTTTTTGTTTTTTGTTTTTTTTTTTTTTTTACAGATTTATTTACAGAGATAAAAGAGGAGACAGAGAAAGAGAAATTCCATCCGCTGGTTCGCTCCCCATATGACTGCAACAGCTGAGGCTGAGCCAAGCCAAAGCCAGAAACCAGAAGCTTCATCTGTGTCTCCCACATAGGTGCAGGGGCCCAAGCACTTCAGCCATTCTCCACTGCTTTTCCCAGGTGCATTAGCAGGGAGCTGGATTGGCAATGGAGTATCTGGGACATTAACCAAATCCTATATAGGATGCTGTCTCAAGCAGTGGCCTCACCTATTACGCCACAACGCCAGCCCCACTCATATCTTAACACAAAATGACTATGTTCTTCGAATGAGACTGTTTTCACTAAAATGTTTAAACTAGAAAGCTATTTATTCATGTATGTATTTATTCATACTTATATATGTGTATACACTTCTAATATAAGATAGTTTGAGATTTATAGAAAAGTTAGAGTTTCTATATACACTTCAGGCAGTTTTCTCCCTTGTTAACACCTTATATTACTATAGTACAGATGTCAGAGTAAACATACAAACTAATTTGTACATCATTGTGATGTTCAATATATTTTTTAAATAAATAATTATTTTCTAAATATTCATGAGCTATGCAAGCATATAAAAGTTCATTTGGAATGCCTACCGCTTTTTATATATTGACTTTGTTAATTCCTAAAGCAGACATTTTCTTTCTACACACTATTTTATTCAATATTTTACTGGAACTATAAATGTCATAATAATATAACTTGATCAGCAGGCAGTCTTAGTTGATTGGCAGGTAACTGAAGTACTTATGAAAGAGGTACAATACCATGCTATTGTAGTTTGGTTATAATAATTGTCCCAACCCAACTGTTTACTCATTTGGTCCAAATATCTTCTTTTTGTGTAACTCTGACTTTCAAATAAATAAATAAATCTTAAAAAAAAAATAAAATGTACAAAGAAGTCATATGATCTGTTGAAGTTGAATTCTTTCTGACAGAATCTGTTCTGAGGGGAGGAACGTGGTGGGGGCAAAGAGGCGCAGAGTCACTACACAGACCCCAGGAATCGGGTGAAAGCAGGCCTGAGGCCAGCAGCCCGCAGACTTGTTTATTTCAGTTGCTACAGCTGCTTACATAGCCAAGGCAGCCAATCGGGTCAAGGGGCGGTCTATGCCCTAACCAATCACAGCCTGTTGCCAGTCAGGCTCTTGTTGCCAGGCAGTTTCTGAAACCATCCAATCACAGCCTGCTGTCAGTCAGGCTCTGTTGCCACGTGGGTTAAAAAGCCATTCCTGAGTAACTGACGCTCACTTGTCAGCGGCCATCTTGGCATGGCCTTCTCATTCCACCACAATGATCCAGGCTACTTTTTGCCTTTTATGTTTCCTGTGAGTCTATATGCATCAGGCAACTCTGAGATTAAAGACCAAACAATTCT